CACACACACACACACACACACACACACACACACACACACACTTCACTGCACTATGTGCCTTCTACCTTTCTGATCAAGTACTCTGTTAGCTATAGCTTCCTAGTCCTCAAATCCTGTCTCTGCTCTCATCATCCTGTTCCCAAATCCTCATGGGCCCCACTTTCTCGGCCTAGCTCACACTGCTCTTCACCCTCTCCCCATTTCCTCCCAGTCCTTCTCTGTCAGTATTTGCTTCAATCCTGCTTTCTCCAGTCCCACCACTCTCTTTTATGTACCCTCCCAGGAAGAAAAAAAAGCCAAAATTTCCCCCACTTTTCCAAGCCAAAACCACCCACATCTGTACACTCCATAGCTGAAAGTTTTACCAGACCTGTGATGTCTTCCCTGGGGCTTTAAATGGAGCTTCGCGTCTAGGTGGCAGCTGGGACAGTGTCAGCTCACCCCCTCTCAGGCTGGGCATTTATCCCCAAGCCACTCTGTAGCCTGAGCCAGCCACGCCTCTCTCACTCCATCCTCCTCCCCTCCACAGTAGGCTGGCAGCCAAGGGCCCATTACTGCCTAAAGCAGAAGCTTTTGGCCTGGGGCATGTGCCCCTTCTCAAAGGTTACAGACTCCCCGACCCTTTCTGTCCCTATTTTGAATTCCACTCTTTGGAAGGAGCAGAAAGAGGAGCTCTGGACTGGAGAGGGTCTCTCTCCCCACCTCAGGATTACATTCCTTTTTTGCAAAGGTTAAAGACGAACTATGCCCTTTAGGAAAGGCCAGGGGTAATCTGAGCCCTCCGGGCTGAGGAGGGGGCCTGGAAGAGGGGCTGCAGGACTGACATCCACACATGCTCTGCTCTCATGAGCTGGCCACTGTGCAGTTGGGGGAAGGGATCAGGGATGCTGAGCAAGCTCTGTGGTCTACAGCGGACACCCCTCCTCCCAAGTGTAGGCCAGCCGCTCTCACCTCTCAGGGTCCTCATAACGGCCATTTTCGGCACCACCCCAACCTACCCTCTCTTGGCCAGCGAAGGGTGATAAGAGGGGAGGCCAGGAGACGAATATAGACCGGCCCCGAGAGCTGGAGCGGCGCTCGACCAGATAGCACTGGGGCAGCAGTTACGGCCCAGCATGAAGTCTAGTGGTCAGGATCCCCTTTCCCCACTGACTGCTGGCGCTTCAGCGCACAGCCCATGCCAGTCTAAAAATGGTGTTGAATCAGGAGTGTGGAAAAAAATGAATGGACGGGAGGAGGGGATGGCCCTTTGTGCCTGGATGCCTGTGGCCGCGCTGGCCGTGCGTCTGCAGCACCGCAGGACGTGTGTCTCTGCACTCGGTAACACTGTCTGCCTTGGAGGGATTCGGGCGAGTTGTGGGGTCTGCCTCGCGTCTGTGGAGGCCCGGCAGACGAACAGGCGGGTGTCTCAGGGACCTGGGCTCATCCCCGCCGCCCGGCCCCTCCCGCTGGCGCCGGAGCAGCCAGCGCCTGGTGACTCACTCAGCGGCCCGCTCCCTAGTGCTCCTCCCCGCCTGCCCTCCCGCGGGGTCACCTCCCGGCCTCCACCCTTGGGTCCCACCTGCCCAGCGGTCTCCCCTCTCGCCCTCCCCCACCCTATTTCCAGCCGCTCCCAGCAGGCCTTGTACACCCCGGGGTGGGGAGCGCGCAGGCCAGGGGTCAGGAGATGGCGGGCGCAGAGCGCCTCCACGTGCCTCAGTGCGGCCCCGCCCGCGGCTCAGCCACGCGGCTGTCGAGGAACCCCGGCTCGGGGGGCGTGGGGAGACAGGGTTTCGTGGTGGACGTCAGGGAAGTCTGCCTAGAAGAGGTGTGGGTGACCCCGGCGCCCCTCCCCCGAGGGCCGGAAGGGGCCAAGCCCCTGGGTGGCGAGGAGGGGTCCAAAGTGATTAGTTCACCGTAGCAACCCAACCCGGCCTGCCACACAGGGCGCGGGTAAACTGACCGCACACAAGTATTTAGCCTAAGTTTTACTGGAAAAAGAGGAAAACCCCAATGGGCCCAAAGAAGGGACTTTCCCCCTCTTGGAAAAGTTGCCAGCTTTGGAACTTCAGAACTCTTCCGCTTTGAAAAATTAGTCCCTCCCTGTCACCCAGGTGGCGTCCCTGTTCAGTGACCTCTGTAGAGAGGGCCCTGGGGCACGGATAGTGACCCTAGCTGCTGGCCCGAGGTCGCAAGGGGCCAGGCCGTGGGGCGAAGCCCTGGGCTAGAGCAGAGTGATCCAGCTGGAATCCACTGGAATGCGCTCGAATGAGCCCAATATATGCGTCCCGGCAGACGCTTGGGACAGGTGGCCGGGTTGAGTACCTTTAGCCCTGAAAGTGACCAAATATATCAAATTTTCTTTTGCGCCCTTGTTTAAATAAAATTAAAAGTAGAGGCGGTAGCGCACACTCCAGCGCGCCTGCCCCTTCTGCCTGACGGGGACACGGTCCCGGTCCGCCTTCCTGCTTAGGAAGGTCCACATCGGTCCTGCCAGGCGCGCGCTCGCGCACCCAGCCGCTAGCCACAACCGCCCCACGCGCTGTCTCTCTGCCCCGGCGCAGGCGCGGGCGCACGCGCCGCCGCCCGCCGTTCCTTCCCTCCGGCGGAGGTGGGGGGGGGTGTTCTCCGGTTTAACCCCGGGATCCCCGAACCGAACCCACTTTAGTTTGCTTAATCTGTATCTTGCTAATTTCCCTTTTTGTTTCCCTCCTCCCTCCAGCTCACTCCCTTTATGGCAAAGTCTGGTTTGTATTCAGTGCGAACTGGAGCGAGCATCTCCCCCTTAGCATCATCCCCTGCCACCACCAGTCCAGTCTTTTGCATTGCTTTCCTTCGAACTCTGCACATTTTGCAGTAGGGGGGGGAGGGATTTTTAAAATTGCATTTGCAAAAGTTCGCTCTCTGGGCAGGCAAGAGGGGGAGGGAGGGAATGGGGAGCAGGCCCCGCCCCGCCGCCCTTTGCAAATAAAAATCTAGGGGGGGGGAGGAGGAGCAGGAAGTGGCTGTGCGAAGGCTGCTGCACAGCTAGCAGAGCGGCGTTCCGGACGGCAGCGCGTGCCCGAGCTCTCTACCTCCCCCCGCCCGCCAGCCCGAGCCCAGCCCGCGGCCCCAGCAGCAGCCCCGAGAGCAGCCCTAGTAGCAGCGCCATGGCCGGGTGGAACGCCTACATCGACAGCCTCATGGCGGACGGGACCTGTCAGGACGCGGCCATCGTAGGCTACAAGGACTCGCCCTCCGTCTGGGCCGCTGTCCCCGGGAAAACCTTCGTTAGCATTACGGTACTTTGAGGCTCGGGCGGTCCGCGGCGCCGGCCGGGCTTGGACTCTCAGGGAGGGATCTGGGTGGGGGCGGGCGGGGTCTAGAAGGCCAGCGGGAGGCCATGACCCGGTCCTTGCCCTGGAGGCGACACGAGTGGGAACTGCATGTGACTCGGCCCTCGGTGGCCCCTCGCGGCGGCGCCCATCCCGCCCGCCGCCCCGCTTTCTGCGACGGGGCGTTACATCCGGGGCACAGGGCGGGGAGGGGCGCGCCGCCCGGTGCGGCGGCCCACTTCCGCCTCCTCCAGGGCGGGGCGGGCACGCGCTGCGATTTTAACCGGGGATTTTGATTGATTAGGGCCTGGGGGGGCCTCGGTTCGCGTTCCCTCCACTATTGTCTCTCCATGCGCGGGTGGGAGCGCCCGGCGCGTGGCCTTGGTCCTCGGCCCGACCTCCGTGGGCCCCCGGCCCCTCCCAGCTCCGTTAGAGAGGGCGAGGCCGTCACACACCCCCAACTCGGTACGTTAGCCCCGACATTCCTGTAAAGCCAATCCCGGAAGTCCCCTCGCCCGCCCTTCCCGCCATCCGGCGGGGCCTGGAGTAGGGGAACTTTGTGAGAAGTTCTGAGACAGTAAAAGTGAAGGAATAAGGCCGCCGCTGTCCCCAACACCACCTTCCCTAGCCACACTGCCCGGAAGTGAGGAGGGGGAGCGGAAGTTCGAAAGGGGGGAAGGGGATTTCCGGGCGGGAGGGTGCCGGAAACTGGGGTTTGGGGTCTAAGGGGAGAAAGGGTCCCTGGAGTGTTTAGACCTGAGACACTCGAGTCCCCCACCCTTCCAGAACTTTAACAACTTCACTAGAAAGGCCCTAGGGGTCTGCTTCCTCATCCTGGGACCTAGGTACCTGAATCTAAACTCTAGGTTACCGGGAAACCCAGGCGTCCGGGCTCCTAACTACGCCTGCAGAACCTTTGACCAAATAAGGGCAAAGTTGCTTCTCCTCCCTCCCTGCCCCCCTCCCTTCCCCTCTCCGCTTCTGCTTTTCCTGAAGGAGAGTTCTGAGCATCCAGAGGCTCCCCTCGTTAACATTTGGCCCCCAGCATTGTCTCCAGAGGGACGTTATCCCTTCCTCCTTGGTCCCATTTACTAGGCTTGAGGATCAAGGTCTTTTTCTGTGCCAACTTCCCACACACAGTACTGAGTTTTCAGATTTCGTTGATGTGTATGAAGCACCCTCAACCCCAGCTCCAGGAAACAGAAGGCAGGTGGGTACTCAGAGAACAGGGAATCCTGGTGCACTAACTTCATGGGTGATTGATTCTTATAGCCAGCTGAGGTTGGTGTCCTGGTTGGCAAAGACCGGTCAAGTTTTTTCGTGAACGGGCTGACACTTGGGGGCCAGAAATGTTCTGTGATCCGGGACTCACTGCTGCAAGAAGGGGAATTTACTATGGATCTTCGTACCAAGAGCACCGGAGGAGCGCCCACCTTCAATGTCACTGTCACCATGACGGCCAAGAGTGAGTTTCTGATCTGAGTCTGACCATTCCTCTAGCTTGGAGATCCCCTATATACCATTTCATTAATCATTGGGGGATTTTCTGTGGTTCCTTCCTCCGTGTGAAGAGTGCAACACAGTATTTTCAATCTGCTGGATGTTGGAAACTTTGGATAGTCCCTTAGGTTCTGTCTCAGCTCCTCACTTTGTAAAGAAACTGAATTGGTGAATTGCATTACCTCTTAAGTCCCTTCCTGCCTTGACGGAGCTTTTTCAGATTAGTATTCTTGGAGTACGTTGTTGAAATCCTAAAGTCAGCATTTTGGCTCCAATCTGTTGAGTTGTATAAGAAAATTAAGAGACAGCAGAGCTCATCCACAGCAGCTCCTAGTCAACATAGACTACAGCTTATGAGCCTTGGACCTCTTAAGTTTTGCCTCTTCCTCTCTAGTAGTCTTTAGGCTTGATTCTATCCCCATCCCCTGAAAAGCTCTATTGTTTTAGGGTGACTGACAGCCTGCCTGTGTGTTGGGGGGAGGGTTAGAAGGGAAGGGCTTAGGTTACAGCCCCCAGTGCTGGGCAGTTGCTGAACAGCTGGCCAGGGTGTAATTGTGACACCTGGGTCCTAGCCTTCTTTCTCTTTCCTCCAGCGCTAGTTCTGCTGATGGGCAAAGAAGGTGTCCATGGTGGTTTGATCAACAAGAAATGTTATGAAATGGCCTCCCACCTGCGGCGTTCCCAGTACTGACCTCGTCTGTCCCTCCCCCACCACTCCCTTCAGCTTTTGCACCCTCCTTCCCACACACACACCATTTTTATGTTTTGGGCCATTACCCCAACTTCCCTTATTGCTGCCAAAACCACATGGGCTGGGGGCTGGGGCTGGATGGACAGGTACCTCCCCCTACCCATACCCCCTCCTGTGTGTGTTTGGAAAACATTTTTTGTTTTTTGGGTTTTTTTTTTTTTTTTCTGAATAAAAAAGATTCTAACAAGGTCCTGTGTGGTTTGAGCTTGGGCATTAGATGGGGGACTAGCACTGATTCATTTACACCCTTGACTTGAACTTGAGATATTTGCACTTGCCTGTGTCCCACCTCGACCCTTTGTACTCTTTTCCATTCTTAGGCTTTCCTCAACCCCCAGGACTGAAGTCGGTACCCTGCACCTGGCCTGGCCCCCTCTCTAGTGGTATTTCCAGGCCTAGCTGAATTGGTACTGGAACACAGCCATCCAGACCAGAGAATGGGTCCAAGCCTGTGGGTAAGGCAGGGCCAGTTGAGTCATCTTCATGTGTAGGTGGGGCTCCCTCTCCCTGAGTCATAGATGCAGCTGGGGCTGTCCCCATGACTCTAGGTTAGTTTATTCCAAAGCTCCCCCTACTCTTTGACAAGAGGGGTGGTTCTTTTACAAACTGTGAAAATGACCTTACCCTTTCTTAGTCCACAAAAACAAGTTTATTAACCCAAGAAGTAGAGATTGTGTCCCCATGCCCCCCCACCAGCCCCCTCAAAAAGATGAGGTTGGGTGAGAATCTGGAGTGAAATATCCCTTGTTGTGCAAATAGGTTGCCAGAGGCTCCAGGTGTGGTAGAAGATTATCAGGCTAAGATGGCAGAGGAAGGAGAGGGTGAGGGATCTGTTGAGGGCCCAGGAAAAATTAGGGGTGCTGGGGCTAGGGAGCCAAAGGAGGTTGGAAGATTGGGGCTAGAGCCTAGGAGTGGGGTCCATTCTGAAGCAGGTTGGTCCCTTGGTTCCCCTTCCTCATCACCTTCCTCTTGTCCCTGAGTTTCTTCCTCCTCCTCATCCCCAGGACCCCGATGAACAGGCTGTTTACAGATGGGGCAGGTCTTCCGGGTCTGAGTGAGCCAGGGGTCCACACATCGGCTGTGATATGCTGTGGAGGACTGTATGAGACATCTGGTACTTGCTGATGGGGCAGGAATATAGCATGGGTAGACAGTGGTCTCACCGTGAGCACAAGGGAGTACCCGAAGCTTGTCTCCATCTTCATATTCATCCAGGCAGATGGCACAGACATCATACTCATCACCTGTGAAAAGGAAAGGAATCTCTTCCTTTACTGCCCCATTCTAAACCAGGCCCAAGAGAACTCACTTTGGGAGACTAGAACTAAAACTTGAAAAATTATTTTCCCAGGTTCTACCAAGCCAGCACAAGAACTAAGGGCAGGCAGGGTAGTCAGGAAAGGACATAGAAAACTTGGGGGTTAGAGGAACAAGCAAAGAGAAGCAGAGTCAGAAGGGAAGTAGGGTTGGGGGGGGGGGTGAGAACAGCGGAAGTGGGAGGGGTAAAGCAGCTGCCATAGCCTTATATGGCACTGGAATCTCCAGGGCCAGACAACCCAACCCCTCACCTGTTTCTTTGAATCCTAACTCCCATCTGCTCTCTCTCCCAGCCTTATACACAGGGTCACTGACTTCTCTTGTTCATTTTGCTTCCCACTCCTGCTCAACCCTGCCTCCTTTGGGTCCTATATGTGTATGTGGTAAAAGAGAAGTAAAGGCGGCATCTAATGCCACCTCACTGTTCTTTGTACCCTTTATTTGTGGCATCTAATCCCACCTCACTGCTCTTTGTACCCTTTATTTGCTGGGTTCAAAACTCCCTCAGGAGGCCAGCTTGTGAGGAAGGTGCTCTTTGTGCCTTTACCCTTCTGGTAGTCATGGGTAGGAATCTGTTTCAGTTGCTCTTTGGTAAGTCGATTCCGCTGGAGCCGTTTTCGGTGTTGGATACACCGAACTATCTAGGAGTGAGAGTAGGCCAGGATTAGAAACAAAATTGGAAAACTAACACAAACCACCCATAACCTCCTGTCTCCAGATCCAGTCTGGCCTTAGATGATCTTCCCAACAGGTTCCCAGGGTTACTTACCAATACTGCTCCCATGGCCAAAACCAGTAGTCCTACAATCCCAGTGAAAGGAATGAGGTAATAGCCCAAGGGGAAACTATTGTCTGGAACCAGAAGCACCCGAGCCCTGAGGAAACAGACCATCTAGAGTGAGGTAAGACAGGTAACTAGCTTGGAACAAGGCTCATGGGTGGGAAAGGGAGTGGGAGGAAAAGTGGAGAGGGGTAAGGAAGAATCAGACAGTGGTTAGGACAGTGAGGCCTGGGCTCCAGGCTAGCATGGAAAAGATGAAGAGCAGGAAGGAAGTACAAGGCTTACCCCTTCTGATAGACAAAGAGGGCACGGAGGCACTCGGCACTCCTCTCTCCAATAAACACAGATGGGATCCAGATCTGCTGCTGGATTTCCTCTGCAGGATCATCAGGATGTTAGACCAGGAATTTAACCTTCCACTCTTCAAATTCTTTTCAAACCCTGGCATTTGGCACTTTTCTCCACCCCACCCGAAGAACCGGTTCTTTTCCTTATGCCTCCAGCCCTCCCACTAACCTATTTAAAACCTAGTAGTGAGATCCTCCAAACTTACCACTATTCCACACCATGTTCAGAAGCTCATTGGAATTCACGTTGTGTACCACAGCTGCACCATACCCAGCCTTCTGAGCATTTAGGACCTGGGGAGACAGCAGGGGTGAGAGTCATTAGGCACCTCACCTTTCTTCAGTCCTACTGCCATTATTTACCTTCAGCTTCCCAGCTCCCATTCCACATTTGGCAACCTTGAGGTCAAAGTTGCAGTCGAATCTTCGAAGCAGTGCAATAAAGACTGACCCGTTGACCGGGGCTGGGGGTGGTGGGGTAATGGGGCTGCAGGCATTTTCTGGGTGAGCCTCCACAAGGAATCCCTGGGGGACAAAAGCGAACAATTGAGTTTTCCTCATTTCTCATTAGGTCTGAGCATCCCACCTAAGTCAACATACATCTTCTCTAAGCTTCTTGAAGATGCAATTCTAGCAAGCATCCTTCACCAGACTCCATTTCTCTGTTAGGTGAATGAACTTGTACTCATTCTGGGCTCACTCAGTCCTTCAGCTTTTCAGTTTCTGCTGACAAGTCAGGTGACTCAGCCTGTCACCACCTCTCCTGTTCTTTCACATCTCAAGTACACAGTACCTTCAATCACCCACCTCATAAAAACACTGGCTATCTGTGGCCTATCTATATCCTTGCTGTGTGGCAAGAACTCTAAAGAAGCAACACAATTGCTTATCTCGCTCATGAGTTCACACAATAACCCTAATGTAATTATCACCCCTTTTTATAGTAAAGGATCAAAGAAAGACTTAATCTACTTTCAATCTCCCCCATAAACTTGGAGTTCCAGGGGTGGACAGTCTCATATTTCTAGATTCCACATTAGACACGTTTGTCCACTCAGTTACTGTCTTTCATTTCCAATTCTGCACTCCACATTAGAGTTGTTTATGCACTTGAGTTGTTTTTAGGGGGATGGGGTATTTTTTGCGGTGCTGGAGACTGAACCCAAGGTTTAACACATGCAAGATAAAGCACTCTCCCCACTACCCCCAGTCCAATGCACTCACTTGCTTATTTCCTACCTCCAGTTTCATCCAGGGCACAGCTACTCAACCCCGACCCAATGGGGCTATGGGGAAAGAGAGAAATGGGGAATCACCTGGAGTCCCTCCTCGTTCAGGGCAGCCCCAAACAGAGCTGGGAGATCTGCAAAGTCCATGCTGCCATTGTACTCCGAGGTCTGCAGACAGAAAAGTCCATTTTCCTCTAAAGCCTGCAACCCCTCCTCAGCGCTCTTCCCCCATTAGACCCTCAGACTCACCGCTCGAATGAGCCCTCGGATGGGAGCAGCTCCCCACAGCACCGTAGCCACAACCACAGGAAGCGGGAAGACCGCAGGGTACATGGCAGCGGGAGGGGCAAGACTGAGGCGGTCGCGTCCTGACAGCGGGAGCAGAAGTGGAGTTCTGCGCCCTCTCTGCCTCCTTCAGAAGGATCCCAGGGGTCCAACCACCCCTAGGCCCCACTTCACAGCTACATGGGGGCGTCAGAGACGGAACTCTGAGTCGGGGAGTGAGGTGTCAAACCCGTTTAGTGGAGCTGGGAAGGAGACACCGTGTCCTTTTCTGGTGCAGAGATAAAACGCAGAAAGTGAACCCAGGCAAACAGGTTAGCAGAAAAACTTCTGCGGGGGGGGGGAATCTCAAAGAGGTGGGACTTCCGGCCAGATGGGCCGTCTTCGTAGCCCCCTGGAAAAGGGTTTCCGGTAAGGAAAGGCCGCTTCCAGTATTGGACGCTCAAGACGAAGGACTTCCGGTTCTAAAAGGCCGGTTGAAAGAAATGTTAGAGATGGAGGGAGTGTGCAGAGATGAAAGGAGCACCGATGCCTGGAGGCGATGTGATTTGCCCCTTTGTGCCCGAGATCTTGGAGGTGCCCTGTTTACAAACCTCTCATTCGCCCGGCCGCCGCCGTCGTACCTCCAAGTATCGCGAGATGCTCACCGCCACCGCCCCTTCCCGCAGCGGCAATTTGTTTTTATCGCGAGAAGCCGCTTAGCGCTACTTCGGGTGACTAATTCGCTCTCGCGAGATCGTCCAACAAATTCTATTTTCCCGCTAATACAATTCGGTTAAAACAACAAAAAAAAAAACCCCTGCACTGTCTTCCTAAGGCACGCCCCTTCCCACGTACCCTTAAAGCTCCTTCTGTAGCCCCGCCTACTCCCGGCCGCCCTTGCGCCTGAGCCTGCGCCAGCGCCCGCGCGAGCTTCAGCTGGAACTGGACCTGCCAGCCGGAGGGGTGCGCGCGCGCCCTCGCCCTGTTGCGCGCTCGGTGTCACCTTGGGCGCGAGCGGGGCTGTGCGTACACGGGGCCCAGCGCGGAGGGCCACGGAGGGGCGATGGCGGCGACAGCGAGTCCCGTGGCCGGCGGGATGTCCGGGAAGCCCCGTACCTCCCCCAAGTCGGTCAAGTTCCTGTTTGGGGGCCTGGCTGGGTAAGCTCAGGCCCCAGGGATGGAAAAGGAGGAGGAAGGGACGGGCGCAAGCTACTGGGCCCAGTGCATATCCGGGTGTGTTGCAGTAAACTCAGCCAGCGCAGGATCAGCGTATTTCCCAGAACATTGCGAGGCCCTTTGATGAGCTGCCAGTATCTTTTCGCCCATTGCAGGGCATGCAGGGGTTATGGCACAAACCCTCGCCTCCTCTGAGTTTTTCAGCCCACTGCTTTGACTGCCTGTTTGGTTGGGGGTTTCAGGTCATTAGAGGACTGGTTGGAATCCCAGGTCGTGGATGCCTCCTCCTCCCCACCTTGGTCAGACTGCATGTGGTCCTAGCTCTCTGCTTGAACCCCGTGAAACTGCCTGAAACACTTTGATTGCATGGCCCCTATTGAACAACTGTACTTTTCAGGTGCACACATACCACAACCCACAAGCCTCCTGAATCTCTAGCTGCATGGCAGGCCCTGACTTTTTGTAACTGGCTGCCAGGTTGCAGTATGCTTTAGATCTGGAACAACTGAACCTGATTCCTTCCCCCCCCCCCCCCCCAAGGATGGGAGCTACCGTTTTTGTACAACCCCTGGACTTGGTGAAAAACCGGATGCAGTTGAGTGGTGAAGGAGCGAAGACGCGAGAGTACAAAACCAGCTTCCATGCCCTCACTAGTATCCTGAAGGCAGAAGGGCTGAAGGGCATTTACACTGGGTACTGGGACCTCAGCTTGGGAGAGAGGTTGTGGGTTGGCAGGTCCAGACTTTGTCCTAATATGCTAGCCTTTCTGCTCTGCAGGCTGTCAGCTGGCCTGCTGCGCCAGGCCACCTACACCACAACTCGCCTTGGCATCTATACTGTGCTGTTTGAGCGTCTGACTGGGGCTGATGGTACACCCCCAGGCTTTCTGCTGAAGGCCCTTATTGGTATGACTGCAGGTGCAACTGGTGCATTTGTGGGCACACCAGCTGAGGTGGCTCTTATCAGGATGACAGCTGATGGCCGGTGAGTTCTGGGTCTGAGCCTAACTCCGGCTCTATTCCTGGAATCTAGAAAGGATTAACTTTAAAAAAATGTTTATCCCACATGTAGAGCAAAACATTTACCTGTTCAGGCCTTCTTTTCTTTGTTATTGTGGGCTGTCCTGACCTTGGCCTTTCCCTGCCCTTCCACCAGGCTTCCAGCTGACCAGCGCCGAGGCTACAGAAATGTTTTTAATGCCCTAATTCGAATTGCCAGGGAAGAAGGAGTTCCCACATTGTGGCGGGTGAGTAAAGGGGTTGGAGTCTTGGGGGATGTAGGTTCAGGTCTTGCATTTTTGACTCTTCTACTTCCCCACCTCCAGGGCTGCATCCCTACCATGGCTCGGGCTGTTGTCGTCAATGCTGCCCAGCTTGCCTCCTATTCCCAATCCAAGCAATTCTTGCTGGACTCAGGTGAGACCCAGAGCTGAGTTCCCTGCCTGGCCTGAGCTACCTGATAGTTGACCATCACCTTCTCCCTTGCCTGGCCTGAGCTACCTGACAGTTGACCATCACCTTCTTCATCTCCCAGGCTACTTCTCTGACAATATCCTGTGCCACTTCTGTGCCAGCATGATCAGTGGCCTGGTCACCACTGCTGCTTCCATGCCAGTAGACATTGTCAAGACCCGGTGAGTGTGCAGCCTGGGCCTAGAGAACTGTGGGAGGGCTCTTTTCCTGTCTCTCATGCCTGTACGTCCTCTCTTTCAGGATCCAGAATATGCGAATGATCGATGGGAAACCGGAGTACAAGAATGGGCTGGTGAGGAGGCAGGGTGGAGGGGCCTGAGCCAGAGTGTTAGATGCCCTGGGAGGGATATGTGAGTAGCTGGTAGAGGGGACAGCGTCCTGGAAGCCAGGTCCTAGCCCCAGCACCCTGTCTCCCTATCTGTCTAGGATGTGCTCGTGAAAGTTGTTCGCTATGAGGGTTTCTTCAGCCTGTGGAAAGGCTTCACACCATACTATGCCCGCCTGGGCCCCCACACAGTCCTCACCTTCATCTTCTTGGAACAGATGAACAAAGCCTACAAGCGTCTCTTCCTCAGTGGCTGATATGGCAGGGGTCCTGGAACCAGTGTGCCAGGGCTCCCAGTCACCATTGCGCCTATAGTCGCTGTGCCCAGGGGGCTTGGACTCTGCTGCCCTGGGCTCCTCTATTTATTTCCCCTCTACAGTGTGGTCTCCTCCTTTGTGGTAAAGAACTTTGATCTGTTCTCCCCCACCCCCTCCTCCCTCCAGCTTGCCCTTCTTGGCTTGATTCTTAGGATCACTCTGTTCCTGGCTATTCCTAGGGGGAGCTGGGAAACTCCCTGAGGATTTTAAGTCTTCTCTTAGGGTTAGTTTCAGGCACACAGGACAGCAGAAGATCCCTCTTTGAAGAATCCAAGGCAGCGCTGAGGGAACAGGAGAGAGTAGAAGCTATCAAGATATTCAAAAGGATCTGCAATAGAAGGGTGCAGTCTTCCTCCTCACTGAGGACTTCACTAATAAATTGGATTGATAACACCACCTCCAAATCTGGGTAGTTGCGAGGCTCAGTAGAGGGAGGAGATGGCACAGAGAACCTGGTATCTCTGGAAAACAGAAACTGGAGTTTTTAACAAAAATTATTAAAGAAAAAGTACCTGCTGGTTTTATGAAAACACTATGTAAATCAGTCGTACCACAGCAGCTGACACAGCCAAAAAGAAAGAAAGCTCTGGGTCCCGTGTGTTGCTTGCAAAGCACTTGCTCAAGAATACAGCTGACTCACAAATGATCTCACAATCCCCAGGAAAAGCCTCTGGGATCTGTGACACCTTTGTGCATAAGAAACTAAGTTGGCCTTCAGTGGGTCAGAGCCACAGGGGTTATTGGGGAGGGTCAGGGCTCATGAGGGTGCATGCTGAAGCCAAACCCAAGGACTAAAAGGATGTTGGTCAGAAATGTGTGGGGCCACTGGAGATGGCTTAGGGGTTAAGAGCACTTGCTACTCTGTTCCAGAGGACCTGAGTTCTGATCCCAGCATCCATGTTGGGCAACTCAAAACCACTTGTAACTTCAGATCTAAGGAATCTAGCATCTTCTGGCCTCCACGAGCACCATTACACATGTGGCATATGCACATACACATGCAATCTTTTTTTGAAAAAAAAAACAAAAACGGTTGACTGGGGAAAGTGACTCCCTCATCTGTTTCTTGAGAAGTGTGATTCCCAGGCCTTCCCCCCAAGGAGCCTACAAACCCCTTGGAGCATAAAGTATGGGAAGGTCAAACCAGGAGGAATGCTGGGCAATCTGAGGGCTGTATGCCAGGCCAGAGAACAGGCAGGCAGCAGGTGGGAGCTGTCTCTTTGACAGAGCCTTGTCAACAGAAAAAGAGGTGTAGCATCCTGGCTGCTGCCATGCTTTCCTCACCCCTCCATGCATACTGTGTCCTAGGCTACCTGTGATGGCTACTTGGTGACTCTTGAAGCCTGGCCCTTGAGTTTGAAATTTGGCTTGAAGATGATGGGTATTTGGAAATGACTAGCAATGGATTGTACCCTGCCTAGCTTAGGAGAGACTTGTACATTGTAGCCAGATAGGTTGAAAAAGATCAGGAACAGAACCCGGCTGGAGAGGGCAGAGATTCAGGAGAAACACTGCTGGGACAGGTGATTTGTGAGGCATCTACAGTAGGTCAGAACAAAGGGAGAAGAAGCTGGACTGTTGGGTGGAGTCAATGAAGAAAAATCCTTGATGGCTAACCTCAAAGGTTTGCCCTCTACCTGGAAGAGTTCAAGGTCAGAGAAAGATTCAGGAAGATCCAGAACCATCTGGAGGTACGGGGATCTATAGAACCAGAGATGCAGCCTTCACTGCTATTTGGGTCCCAAGCCCTGGATTGAACTGAGATGAGGTGTGGGAGAAAGCCTGGCCAGTGAGGTTGACAAATAGCTAAGTCAGTGGATCCAGGGAAGGGAGGGGTCTTGTTTACTTGGCTTGAAAGCTGAAGACCTAGGATTCTTAGGCAAACCCACCAGGATGATACACCCTCCACCAAGTCCTGCTGACCTGGCCAGTGAAAAGAGTTGTGTTCCAGAGACTCTGGGTGTGAGGAAGGGCCCCCACCTCTGCCCTGCTTCAGGCCGCAGGTGGGTAGGCTTCAGCACTGCCACCCAGATCCAAGGGACTGTTCTATTCAGGAGCTGATGCTTACAGTGGCCATTCAACCACCCTGCAGGAGCCACTAAGGTAGAGACAGTGACCTCTGTGCCTTACCCTCCCACCCTCAGCTATGACTAGCAGTTTGCTAGGCATTTGGGATCAGGGTGGGGGCAGCTGAGACCTTGGAATTCTTGTAACAGGTGTTCTAGCCACTCTTTCCTGTTCCAAAAGAAAGCTACATTTTCCTTTTAGAAATATTTTTATTATACAAATGGAATACACTGATAGAAAACTAGAAGGTGCTAAACAGAAAAAGATCTGACAACCCAGAGACAGTGCTCCCATCTTGATCAATTACTTTCCAGATTTTCTTCTCTATGACTGCATGGAAACCATAGACTATTCCATTTGCTTTCTCTCTCTCTTCTTTCCCCAAAGTGATAGCAGTAACCATGTGGCCTGACAATGCTCTCAGCAACTTAGGGCGCTTGGCTCTGTGACCCTCCCAATTCTATCATCTCACTACCCCTCCTGATTTGTGAGGTCTGGGGTTGTGTACCTGGATGTGAAGAGGGAGGAGGCTTCAGACCGAGGAAAAGTGATTAAGACATCCCTGTGACACTGTGCGGTTCTCCCACCCCCAGCTAGATCCCAGTAGAGTATGTTGAAACTTTTCTCAAGGTCTCCAAAGGACTCACCTTCAGAGGCTGTGGCCAGAGTACCTAATGCCCACTGTGCCCAACAGGTCCTGACCACGTCCCTGACTCAGGGTTGAAGGCCGCCGCCCTGCTACCAGAGGCCTGACACGGCCATTAGGCCGTACCCACAGAAAAAGGCTAGAACGGAAAGTGGGGAGTGACCCTTGAAGGAAGAGCAGCCAGGCTCGGGGCACAGTTACTTGCTTTGCCCTCTGCACCTCCAGATGTGTGGTTTGTGTGCGTGTGGCCACAGCAGCAGACCAGCCGGAGTCCAGAGCATGTGGTTTCACGTGCCAGATCCAGCTCAGCAGCAGGATGAGCACCACAGAGGCAAAGAGGAGCCAGAGGAGACCCAAGATATAGAAGCCCAGAGAAAGGGGGCAGCAAAAGTCGGAGTTGAGGAAAGGGTCACTTTTTGAGCTATCAAAGTTTCCTTGAACCACCTCTGAAACCGTTAGGAAGCTGTTAAACTCAGGGATGATTGTTGTGATAGTAGGGAGTAAAGTGAGTTCTGTGGTAAAAAATAGTTCCAAAGTGGTTTTAATTGAGGTGGGCTCTGACGTGGTGGTGGGCTCTGGGATTGTTAGGGTGGTGGTGGTGGGCTCTGGGGTGGTTGGGGTGGTGGTGGTGGGCTCTGGAGTGGTTGAGTTGTTGGTGGGCTCTAGAGTGATTGGGGTGGTGGTGGTGGTTTCTAGAGTGATTGGGGTGGTGGTGGTGGGCTCTGGGGTGATTGGGGTGGTAGTGGTGGGTTCTGGGACAGTTGGGGTGGTGGTGGAGGGCTCTGGGGTGGTTAGGGGGTTGGTGGTGGGCTCTGGGGTGGTTGGGGGAGTGGTCAGGGCAATGGTAGGTTTAGTACTGACCTTTAGACCATAGGAGGATGTGATGAGTTCCATGGTCTCCGGGAATGTGGTAAGCTCTGGGATCTGTCTATGTGGAGATGTGGATTGATTTTTAGTGGGTTCTTGGGTTGGAGGCAAAGAAGGCATTTGGCTGTCTAGAGAAGCAGAAGACTCTGAGTAGAGTAGGCCCCAGTGGGTCATATGGGCTTTAGTGTTAGTAGAGAACTTGACCACAGTCCTTGTAGTATGTACTGTATCACGCTCAGGGACATCATCATAGTCATCATAGTCTATGTCATCCCCATCACCATGGGTAGGGCAGCCTTTCCCTGGGTAGGTGTAGACAGGTACATTTCCCAAATTGATGCATCGTACACTGGCCACATTAGGGGTCATGGCCTTGACATCTACACCCTCCTTCCATAAGTAGACATTGTTGGAATTGTCCTGGAGCCAGCGATGAAAGTAGAGGATCTCACAATCACAATGCCAGGTGTTGCCATGGAGAAAAGCAAAAGGCAAGAGGAGGTCCCCAAAGAAGCCCTTTGGTATTGTACGTAACTGATTCCCTTGAAGGTAGAGAGTATCAAGTTCATCCAGCCCTTCCAGGAGCCCAGGGGGCAGCTCACCCAACTTGTTGCTCGCCAGATTGAGCTTCCTTAGCCTGGGTGTGGGCATCAGGAGCCTGGGGGGCAGCATCATCAGATTATTATTTTGCAGATAGAGCTCATGGAGTTGGCTCAGGCCTTCCAGGGCACCAGGAGCCAGTGAGGTCAACTGGTTGAAGGAGATATCCAGGGTGGTGAGTGCAGGTAGTGCCCGTCCTAGGGAGGGCAGACTTTTCAACTTATTGTGGGATAAATCCAGGGTCTCTAGCAGTGGCAGTGGCTCTGGAGTCTGCAGGCTGGTCAGCTCACATTCATCCAGGTACAGCTGAGTCAGGCGAGGGAAACGCACCAGGGATGCTGTAGAGAAAGTAACCAAGTAGTTCTTGCTCAGGTGGAGGATGCCTGTGTCTACTGGCAGGTCTGTGGGAAGTGCTGTCAGCTTCTGGTTTTCACAGTTGACTTCCAGCTGGCTGGTCACTTTGGAGATACCACAGCTGGCCTGCGAGTCTAAGGGACTTGGCAGCAGGAACAGCAAGATGAGGAAAGCCATAGGAACCTGTTGGTCAAGGGAGCTTAAGTGGATGCCATACCAGCCCCTGGCATCATTCCCCCAGGCTTCAGCCCTCCACCTCTGTATCTCTCAGGATCCCTTCCAGAAACTCAGTGTCTATTCCTCTCAACCTACTCTTCACCTCTGCTCTCAAAGCCTAACTACTAGTTCTAAGTCCTTGAGTCCCATTCCTCCCTCAGACCCTCCTCCCTAGCCCCATCCCCAGCTCACAGTCAGGCAAAACAACCTCTGAAGGTACAGAGCTTCTTCCAGGGTGTGACTTGGATCCTCCTCTCTTCCAGCTCCAAGAAGGGCCAGACCAAGAGCAGGAAGGAGATAGATATGGGGAGGAAATGCCAACCTGATACAGACCCCTGGGACCCAGGGAACAGCCTGCCTCCCGGACATAAGCCCTTATCATGACTCGCCACAGCTTTCCCCCAAGCCCTCCTTTTGGTTCCAAGCTCTCCCTTTTCCTCCCACCCTGGGGAGATTTTGGGACTCATCCAACCACTAACCCCTCTAGCTTCTACAAGCCTCTCCACATGCCACCCTCTCTTCCCTTTCACAGCCACAGTCTTAGGGATGCCTATTTTTTAATTCTTTGCTTCTTTACATCCCACTGTCATCTTTCCTTGTCCTAGGCCAATTCCCTCTCCAAGACCTCTCTATTGACTTGGTTCTTGACAAAGTTGATAGTACCCTCCTTTCCCCTATAGCCACTGGACACTTTGCTACCATCTTACTCAATGTTTTCAGCCTACATACTCAGGGCCATCCCCTCCTTGAGATTCTAATCCCTTTAAATTCTTTACAAGGGACACATACTTTCTTGGTTTTCCTCTTGCTTGTCTGGTTGGTCCTTCTCAGACTCCTATGTGGCTTCCTCTTCCTCTGACTTTCTTAGCATTTAACTTGTCTTCAGAGTTTGTTATTGGGTTCTCTTCATTTCTTTTATTTGTTATTTATTTATTTATTATTTTGTCTTTTTGAAGCAGGGTCTCCCTGTAGCCCCAGCTGTCCTGGAACTCCCTATGTAGACCAGGCTAGCCTTGAATTCACAGAGATCTGTCTGCCTCTGCCTCCCAAATGCTGGGACTACAGGCATGCGCCACCACGCCTGGCTTTCATTTCTTCTTTTTATTTTATTTTACTTATTTATTTATTTATTATTTTGTCTTTTTGAAGCAGGGTCTCCCTGTAGTCCCAGCTGTCCTGGAACTCCCTATGTAGACCAGGCTAGCCTTGAATTCACAGAGATCTGTCTGCCTCTGCCTCCCAAATGCTGGGACTACAGGCATGCGCCACCACGCCTGGCTTTCATTTCTTCTTTTTATTTTATTTTACTTATTTATTTATTTATTATTTTGTCTTTTTGAAGCAGGGTCTCCCTGTAGTCCCAGCTGTCCTGGAACTCCCTATGTAGACCAGGCTAGCCTTGAATTCACAGAGATCTGTCTGCCTCTGCCTCCCAAATGCTGGGACTACAGGCATGCGCCACCACGCCCGGCTTTCATTTCTTTTTATTTTATTTTTTAAAAATATTTTTATTTATCATCTTTATTCAATGTGTACAAATGTATTGCCTACATCCATGTGAGTGCTCCCACGTCGTGCAATGCCATGGAGGGCAGAAGAGGGCATCGGATTCCCCTGAAACTGCAGCTAAGGACAGTTCGTAGCTGCCATGTGGGTGCTGGGAATTGAACCCGGGTCCTCTGCAAGAGCAGTCAGTGCTCTTAACCGCTGAGCCCTCTCTCCAGCCCCATTTCTTCTCCTTCTTTTTTTTTGGTTGTTTTGAGACAGGCTCTCCCTGTAGCTCCAGCTGTCCTGGAACTCCCTATGTAGACCAGGCTGCCCTTGAACTCACACAGATACGCCTGCCTCTGCCTCCTGAGTGCTGGGATTAAAGGCATGCACCACCACGCCCAGCCACCCATTTCTTCTTTTTAAAGACAGGGTCTGTGTAGCCCCAGCTGGCCTGGAACTTGGTATGTAGACTGGGCTGGACTTATACACTCAGAGAGTGTCCCAAATACTGGGATTAAAGGCATGCATCACCTCACCTGGCTTCTCCATTCTACAAGTCATCCTTTTCCTTGCTTTTAACCACCACTGCTACCTCAAAGACTCAAATCTATATCTGTAGTGTAGACCCCTCTTGTGGGGGCCAACTACATGGATCTGATTGCCTCTTGGACCTACTCTTCTTGGATGTTCTACAAACACAATGTGTTCATCACTCAGGAGGCTGAGGCAGGAGGATCATGAGTTTGAAAACAGCCTTGGTTACATAGAAAGACGCTTAAAAAAAAAAACAACAAAAAACCAAGGTAGTAGAGAGGTGGCTCAGGGGTTAAGACTATGTTGTTCTTCCAGATGACTTGGGATTTGGTTCCCAGCACCTACATGGCAGCTCTCTCATCCCCTACCACCATTCTCAGGACTTCACACATACCAGTAACACACCAGCAATCAAATCACTTCCGCAAATAAAAGTAAATCACTAAAGAAACAAATCAGCCAACCAACCAAAACCCCAGTATGTTAAAAATTGAGCTCATCTAAATAGCTTCTTCTGGCCGCTGGTATAGGCCTATCTGTAAGCTCAGCCCTTGGGAAGCAGAGGCAGGAGGATTATGAATAAGTTCAAGGCCACCCTGGGCTATATACTGAGACCCTGTCTCAAAAAACCAAAACACACACACACAAATAGCTTCTCTTCCTGTGTCGTCCACATCCACTCAAACCAAACCCCTGACACATGCCTACCTCCATCTTTACATCCAACCCACCATCAGGTCCTTCGATTATAACTCTAATCTCTCTCAAATCCACTCCCCCCTCCCTCCCACCCCTGGTCCAAGGCACTATTTTACCCCTTTCCCTGTAATAGTCTCTCCTAACTGGTCTCTCAAATTTCTGACTTCCCTTCTCTCTAGCTGTGAGTTTGCTAATTTCTGTCTACTATGCAGGCACACTAATAGCTCCTTACAGTTTTCAAGAGGCACTGTGAAGTTCCCAACATGGCCTTCAGGGTCTTTCGAGATCTGAGCCTTCCCTACCTACCTGTTCAGCTCCATCTTTTAACTACTTTGCCTTCTCTTGATCACTCTATCCTGTGCCTGAACCTCTCCTCACTCCTTATCTCCTTCCTAACTCTTACTTATCTGACATCTTCCAGCTCAGAATTTATTCTCCTGAAAAGCCTCTTCCGACTTTCCAAACCTGGGTTAGGTGTCTGTTGCAGAAAATCAGCCATTATGTCTTTTGGACCATTGCCTCTTCTAATAACGTAAACATCCTACCTACTGCTTCCTAGAAGGGTACCACGAAACCACATGAACCTGCCCCTGTCAGAAGCAGTTAATTCATAGTCTTGTCACTTATATAATTTGCCACCTGTAAAAGTATTGGGAAACATGGAGCAAAGGAGATACTATCAGGAAGTAAGGTAGAAGGTCAAATAGACAGAAGCCATGGTGTTGAGTAAGGGCCCTGAGGCTGTCGATTTGTTACTGCACAGGTATCAGTTTTCAGTCGTAAGTCACAGAAATTGTTCTGGGTAATTTAGGTCAAAAAGGAATTTATTAAAAATACATTGGTCTTGGGAGGCAGAGCAGGTGGATCTCTGTAAGTTCAAGACCAGCCTGGTCTACATAATGAGTTCCAGGTCAGCTGGGGCTATAGGGAGACCCTGTCTCAAAAAGACCAAAAAACAAAACAAAACAAACAAACAAACAAAAACACTGGTAAGCTGGGCATGGTGGAGCATACCTTTAACTGCTACACTTGGGAGGTAGAGACAGTTGGAACTCTGTAAGATTAAGGCTAGCCTGGTCTACATAGTGAATTCCAAGTCACCTGAGGCTACAGGGAGACCCTGTCTCAAAAGAAACAAACAAAAACTGGTAAATCAGGCTTGGTGGCACACACCTGTAATCCCAGTGCTTTATTCAGAAAAAAATCAAATCAAAACAAAACATTGGTGAAAACCAGACTATGTGGCTTGTGCCTATAGCCACAAGTTCTCAGGAGGGTGAGGTGGGAGTTCCATACCAGCCTGGGTAACATAGCAAGACCCAATCTTAGAAAAGCAGGGTGTGGAGATATACACCTGTAATCCCAGCCCTAGAGAGGCTGAGGCAAGAGGACTGCTGAGATGAGACCAGCCTTAGCTATGTGATGAGTTTGAGGTCAGCCTGGGCTATATAACAAGATTCCATCTGAATATAAAACCAAACCAACAGCAACACTGACTACTTCAAAGAGTTTTCTGGGTTGGAAAACCAGACATGGAGCTATGTGGCCAGGAACAGTACCTAGAACCATGCTGCAGAACCAGTCTGGTGAGCAAAACTGCCTCCACTGTAAGACCAGGTCATTGAAGCTTCTACCCAGCTGCTGGGCCACAAGTTGTCCCACAACCGCCCCTCCTACAGATAGACTCTCACACTATCCCTTACTCAAGCCTGGATGAGAGTCTGGTTGGTCATGTGCCTGTGTCCTAACTGCAAGAGAGTCTGGGAAGGCAATTTTCCCTCAACTTCTAAACTGGGAAGCATGTTCTGTTTCCCCAAAGATCCTGAAGTTGAAGAAATTTCAAATAAGGAAGAAGTTCACAAGTTCTGTGCCTGATGAACTCACTGTGTTTTTGTCTTCAGATGTCAGTGTCCATACTCAGGTGTGGAGGTGCATGTCTTCCCAGCATTTGGGAGATAGAGGCAGAAAGAGCAGGAGTTCAAGGTCACATAGCAAGTTCAAGGTCAGCTTGGGCTATATGAGACCTTGTCTTCATTTTTTAAAAAATTTTATTATTTTATTTTATGTGTATGAGTGTATTGCCTGCATGTATGTGAGTGCACCCATGTCATGCAATGCCCATGGAGGTCAGAAGAAAGCGATGGATCTCCTGGAACTGGAGTTACAGATGGTTGTTAGCCGCCATATGGGTGCTGGGAATCGAACCTGGTTCTTGTTCAAGAGCAGCCAGTGCTCTT